GGACGCGGCCTTAATGGCACGTCGGAGGAAAGGAGCCAAATTGGTGCTTGGCCAGGGCATCATCATGGTTGTGCAGGGTTGGACGGTGAGAAGACGGGAAGGCGAAGGTGCAGACGGGTGGAATTAAGTAGAGGTGACTGCTCTCTGGCTTGCATGTGGGCACGGCTCGACGGTGGTAGAGAGATGAGAAACAGAGAGAGAGCAGTGGGGTACAACCGGTGGCTCGGCGTGTGCGCGCCTTGGCTGGATGTGGTTGGCACGACCGTGGAGACCCACGTCCAGGCGCTAGCAGACAGGCGCACGCGTTCGCAACCGGCATGGCCCGCACACCGCAGTGCCATCAATGACATGGCGACGGCGAGCACAGCCATGTCGCGTCGGCGAAACAACTGGGCGGCAATGGCGCAGATGCAGAGGGAGGCATGGACATGATGGCTAAGGCGGCAAGATCGGGCGGTGAGCTGCGTTGCGGCAGCAGAGGGTGGGTCGATAGTCTGGCGGGCGGTGGGGCCGACAATAAAGATCGCTGGCTGCATAGCGGCAAAGCAGCAATGACTCCGTATGCCAAGAGCGGTAGCGCCCGGGCGAAGCAGCCATGGTTGGCCACACGCGGCAACACGCGTCTTGTAGCTGGATAACCGGTGATGGGCGACGCCGAAGCGCTGAAAGGCGTGGTGACCGCGCCTGCACGCCAACCAGCCCAAGACCGTGTCGTGCACGAATTTTAAAGCACCTATAAAAACTAAGCGGTTGCTTTCGGCGTTAACCATCTTCACCATGCTCAAGATGGCATATGAGACTACCAAACCGAAGCTAACACATGACACCTTTTCTTAACCCGATTTAGCAAAATAAATTGCCAAACATGGCGTTGTCTAACTGTCAACATACTTGAAAATATTCTAAGTCTTTTGAGCTAAACTTGATTCAATTTGCATTTCTAGGCTATTAGAAATGTTGGCTAGCAATGCTATTTTTCTACGGCAAGTATTTCATTGTTATCTACAAAGTTTATATTCCAATCTTTATTTAAGCGCCACATATATGTTCTATAGCATTTTTGTTTAATAAAAATTAGTTTTAAACCCTACTTGATATACATGAGCTATTGAATTAACTTTCGTTTAACATTTTTATTAGTCATTTTAGGTTACAAGAAATTGATCTACACACTTTATCACATTCACTAACACATAAACATGATGCTCATGACATGTTTTAGTAAATAATTTAGGGTGTAACACCGAGGGTGTTACAGTGCGTGCCCTAAAAGATGAGAACCAAAGGTTTTGCCGGCTCAGTCTTCGTCATAGGAGTAAGGTTTGCGTATAAGCGTTCATAGGATGAGTGTACATGCGTTATGAGAGCGTCTGCGTTGTATTGTGTAATTTCGAAAAAAGAAGAGACAAGATAGGAGATCAGTCACAGCATCAGCGATGAATTTTTTTTTAAAAAAAAGAACAGCAACAGATTTTTTATAGACAAAAGTAACAGATTTAAGTTCGCGAACTATTTTGGGCATTTGCTACTGGAGAAGTTATCTATTGTCAATTTGTGTGTTTATGTAAGGCTGCTAGCTAGGTGACTAAAGGGGTCTTATTTATCCCAAAATGATGTTAGGAGAAGCAACATTATTTCTTCTGAAATTCCAGGTCAACTTTGTGATCTTTAGGCCCTATTTGATAGAGCTCTTGCTCTAGGAAATCCTGAATGTAAAGCTACAGACGTGTCAAATGTATTTACAAGACTCATTATTATTTATTTTTTATATTAAATAAAAAATATTTAAACCACTTTAATTAACCTACAAACTTTCGAGAGATTGGGTCTGTTATATCCACATCGGATGGTTGTGAGATGATAGACCAAGAAACCTTCCTCTCTTTAATAGTCCTATTAGGTAAAGAAGAGGGTGGTTTTTAATTAAAGAGAATTCTCAAAGAAAAAAATACTCGTATAGAGAAAGGAGATCTCTTGGAGTACCTACATCCCCTATATCGATAATGATATGATTAAGACGCCCGGACGAACGGACGCCTCCCACCACTCACTCCCGTTGTGCTCGTGCCCCTCCTCATTCTTATCCCTTCACGTCCTCCCCACACCCAATGACGTGGCCATTGTTGCTTCCCTAGCCGGCGGCGGTGCCCTCACCCACCCTGGCATGCGGGCTCCCCCACCCCGGCATCCTCCTTGCCCACCCTGGCGGCTCCTTCCCCCACCCCAGCATCCTCCTCCCCCACCCTGGCGGCTCCTTCCCCCACCCCTGTCCTCCTCCCCCACCCTAGCGGCCTCGTCCCCCACCCCGGCGTCCTCACCCACCAGGAGCGCCCAACGCCCACGGATCCGGTGGCCCTCTCCCCTACCCCGGCGAGATCCAAGCAAGCCACTGACCCTCCCCTACCCCGGCCGACGACGCCCTCCCAAGATTCGGCATCGTCTTCTCTCCCTCGGCCGACGGCGGGCATGGCGGACGTGCGGGCACGCACCATCCAGCGAGCCTGCGCCACCGCAGTTGCTCACCAGGAAGGTCATGGCCTCGCGACAATGCTGTGTTTCAAGTGTTTCTAGATGCTTTTCAGACATGTTGCAAGCCCATGTTTGAAGTGTTTCACATGTATGTTTCAATTGTTTTATGCGGATGTTTCAAAAGTAGATCAGGACGTTGCATATGTTGCAATGGTTGTACATGTATGTTACAAGCGTCTATCCCTAATGTTTCATCTGATTTTTTTACACGTGTGTTGCAAATGTTTCAAACGCACGTCTCAAGTGTTTCATTTGTCTTCTTTTGTATATTGCAAGTGCTGTATCTGAATGTTTCAAAAGTAGATCTAGATGTTACACATGTTGCAATGGTGTTTCAACTGTATATTCCAAATATTTCATCTGTTTTAGACGTATATTGTAAAGGTTTCATCTATATGTTGCAAAAGTGGACCGGGGTGTTGCACGGCGCGGCCGGTGGCTGTCGCTGTGCGGGGCTTGGGGTGGGCACGGGTCCCTGCGACAAACAGGGACGCAGGTGTTGGGGGGCAGGACGCGGGACAAGGGGCATGAGACCGGATGCGGACGCAGGAGCGGCGCAGGTGTCGAGGCCGCATCCGACACAACGTCCCGTCCGGACGTCCGGGCGCTAGGCATACCGCTCTAATATTGCAAGATTTTAGAAACAAGAGATCTATTTGAGTTGCTCTAAAATCCATTAGCAAAGGCATTAAGGGCATGTTTGGATGTGGTTTTAGAATAATATTGTATCAATAAACTATTGCTTTAAATGCTAAAGACGTACAAAACCGTGGTTTTTATTTTTTTTAAAAGAGAGATATAGAGTGGAGTATCCAAAGCTTTTAAAAGGACTATGGTTACTAGAAAACATGTTCTATCAAACACCTAGCAACTTTCGGAAACTAAAGCATTTTATAAAATCATAGTATTTGTCTAGTATTTTAAAAATACTTTGTAGCAAACAGAGTAAGACCCAAATTCCCAATATCGATGGCTTATCATCTCTGTGACTTTAGATAGCTCAGTACAACCAGCTAGGCATTTGTGTCCGTACATGCAGAATTTCAGAAGAAGAAGAAAAGGCGTCTGTGCACTGGACGACTATCAGTGGGCCAGGGTGAAGTACATGTCGAAGATGATGACGATGGAGGTGTCCGTGGAGCTAAGGAGCTTACTGCTCATGTACCACTAGACATAGGGCACGATGTATGAACCAGGACAACTCCTGAGTCCGAGTGCTAGACTATCAAAAGCCATACACACGACTACTAATTTACTAGTCGGTGCTACGAAACGTCGACACGTCTCCTATATTGTAAGATTTTAGGGATACGTGATTTGTTGGAGATGTTGTAACATCTGTTAGCATAAGACATTAAGGACATGTTTGGATGTGGTTTTAGAACAATAAGGTATGACCAAACTTTTGTTTTAGAAGTTAAATACGTGGAAAACAGTGGTTTACTAAATAAAAAATAAATCCAAAGTGGAGTATCCAAAACTTTAAAAAAAATATGGTTATAAGAACTAGAAAACTTGTTCCATGAACACCTAAGGCCCAAAGCGGTGTGTGGCCAAAGTGATGCTCAAAATAGAGTGTGTATTCGGACAGCAGCAAGTGATGCCATTTACCAATGATGCTAGAAAAACAGGAGTCATGCGTGTTCTTGCATTGATTTCCAATTAATAAACTCCTATTGTTCTAATGTAGCATAAAGCGGAAGAAAAAATAGGACAAGTACTTTTTTTACTCATTTGGGCTCCAAATATGCAAGATACTCCCTCTGTTCCAAATTATAACTCATTGCAACTTTCTCGGAGAGTCAAATCATTTTAAGTTTGACCAAATTTATATAATTTTATGATAGCAAATAAGTATCATTAAATTATTCATTAATTATATTTTCATAGTATGCATATTTGATGTCATAAATTTTGTCATTCTCTTTATAGGCCCCGTTCGGCTTACCCCATATTCAGCTTGTTCGGCTTGTTTTTTCAGCCGGAACAGTATTTTTATCTCACAACAATTCAGCCAGAACAGTATTTTTCAGCCAGTTTCAGCCAAGATTCAGCAAGCCGAACGGGGCCTATTTTGGTCAAACTTGATATTATTTGACTCTCGAGAAAGTTGGAATAATTTATGATTTGGAACCGAAGGAGTAGCTTCAAGTCTTCAACGCCTGCTTTTTCATACGGTGTGGGTTTGAAGTGTGATGTTTGTTTTTCTTGCTATGGGATTTATTTTTGTGGAGAGCCTAACAACTTTCAAAAGCCAAAGCATTTTACAGAACCGTAGTATTTATCTGAGATTTTAAAATACTTTGTATCAAACAGAGCCTAATAAGACCCAAATTTCCTAGAATCGATGGTTATCACGTAACATCTGTGGCTTTGGATAGCTCAGTACAACCAGCAGGGCACTGTAGGCTGATGGGAACAAACCATGCAGAATTTATTTATTAAAAAAAATGCGTCCGTGCACTGGACGATCAGTGCGCCAGGGTGAAGTACATGTCGAAGACGACGACGATGGAGGTGTCCGTGGAGCTGAGGAGCTTGCTGATCATGTACCCGCGCGCGAACCGGAGCTTGCCCGTGCCGCCGACGATGCTACGCTCCGACGGGCCGGACACGATGAAGTGTCCCTGCGTCGCCAGCGTGCTGCCGCTGTACTTGCCGTAGTCAGAGAAGACAAAGTCGATGGTGGTGAGGCCGCCGGACTCGTCCAGCGACGCGTGCACCCCGATCCCCTGCGCCCTGCCGATGAGCCGCGACGCCGGGTCGGGCCCCTCCCGCAGCGCGTTGTCGAACACGTTCAGGTCACCGAACGTCGACGTGTTCCTGCACGCATGGCATGGCATGGCACCACGCAGCACGTACGCACGCACCATGCACGGATCGATAGGCGTTAGCACTGGGTGAAAGACTGGAAGATACACGCGTCATAGCTAGGGGCGCCGCGCATACGTACTTGTGCAGGCTGGCGACGTTGACGACGGTGGCGTTGGGAGCGCCGGCGTTGACCTCGTGGAAGTAGAAGTGGAGGTGGGTCAGTTTCTCATCCGCGGTGGACGCCACCGAGCAGCAGCAGGTCAGTAGCAGCACGAGAGCCACGGAAGAGCACCGAGCAGCGGCCATTGCTTCAGTCGTCGCTCTTCAACTTCGACGCTTTGCCCTCTGTGATGTGTGTTTGCGAGTCTGAACAAAGATAAAGAGAGAAGTGAAGAGTTGGTGAGGATGAGATGGGAGAGCGGCGGGATGTCACACTCAGGCCGATCAATCATTTAGCGTAGCATGTTAATTTTGGATGGAAGGAATAAAAGATAAGGTGCTCATTTTTGAAAGAAAAGATGCGGATTAGTTGCTGTTGCCGTGACTATCTACCAACACAAGCAAGTGATTGCCAGCATTCATGCAATTGAGGAATCTTATTTTTGTGGTGCTTCTTGAATAATCAGCTTTATATCTTCTGTTATTCTAGGTCAACTTATGATAAACTGTAGGGCCAATGAATAATAGCCAGAGGAACAGATGTACTATGCTCATGCGAAGGCAGAATGGGGGGTAATCATCCTTACTATGCTCATGCGAAGGCAGAATGGAGGGGGGGGGTGCAATCATCCTTCGTGGTCCATTTCATCATCAAACAAACGGTAACAGTTTATCATAAACTGCCATCCAAGGCTAGCCGGTCAAGAACGAATTTGGTGAGGACGCTCGCAAGATGCTTTAAAATCTGCTACTTGGCTAATAAAACGTTTGATCCACAGCTGTTCGGGGCTTAGGCGCATCAAGCCTCCAAAAAAAAAGTTAGCCCTCACAGCTTTTCCCCTTCTATCAATGTGTGCTACATTCCTCTTTGTACAAACGGGCATAGCTGCCATAGTATAATACGTAGCTACTATACAATTAGTGTACAGGACCGTCAGATTATATCGAAACATTCTGTTAGAGAGCGATGAACTCGTGGCAGTCACAAATGCTCATCAGCATCAATCACCTCTTCTTCTCCAGGTAATGGAAGAATGAAACCAGGAGCATTCAGTGGTGGTGTCACATTGTCAGCTAGTCAATCGATTGTCTGCTCTCTCTCTTGAGATCCTCTCTTCCTGTATCTCCTCTAGTTCGTCCCCATCACTCCGCTTGCCTGCTTGCTCCTTCCAGTAGGCGATCAACTTCTTCAACCTCATGATTTCTTTTGGGGCAACATGCTTGCTCGTATCATTAACAATGCAACGAACCCGTGAAGCATACCTACAAGGTTACAAAAATTATATAAAACAAAGCCACCGCACCATACCACAGGAATGTCCTATATTGATACAGACTTTCAAAACTGTCGACTCCAACCAGTATAAATAAAGTTTTTGCAACAAAATTACCCTAACCATCGTACCCATTTGATAGGAACAACTGAAATGAATCAATGGAAAAGCTAATATATCAAACCACATTGATGGAAACAGTGACAAATAGCAAACCCAAAAGACAAGGACATAGACTCAGTGAGCAAAGAAGTACATACATCAACGAGTTGTAAGTCTCCTCCAAGTTAGACTCTGCTGGTGAAACATTCACAAACATTAAGGTCTTCGCATTGCCTCCGAGAGAATCACTCATAAGCATTGTTAACTTATGGTTCCGGTAAGGTATATGTTGTCCATCAGAAGATAAAGCACCAATAACATCAGCCAAAGCAGAAAGAGATTTATTTATACTTTGTGCTTCTTTCAATTGCTTTCCTGCTGAACCAGATTTTTTCACCCTCTCAGAACCAGCAAGGTCCACAAAACTTAGCTGTTCAAACAGAGGAACACTGTCAATTCTTCCTTTTAATATGAAACAAACTCTGAGATTAATTATAATAGCGCAGAAATATGGTATCGCTCTATACTTTATATTAAATCACACACAAAATTAAAACATGCACTAAGACTGCATATTGGATACTACTAAAAAAAATGAAAACCAAAGATCATATGAATAACCAGACTACCAAGGCCAAGATACTACAGAAAGTACAAATTTTTTTAATCTTATAGAACAATTGAAATACAACTAGTGTGTTTTCCAGGTAATGTTTGCCAACAACCTCCATCAAATCACAGGTGTAGTATTTTCTACAACATGCAAAAGTTCAACGATAAAGTACCCAGGCCACAGATAAAGGGAGACAGAATATTCAATATTTTTTCATTATTATAGATGAAAGTATGGTCAGTAGACTCAAGACCAAATTGGAGTTAAGTTTGCAGCTTCATCCTGCCATACCTTGCCTCTTGCATATGATTGAGTTTGGAGATTTGTACTTTCAATAATGATTGAAAGAATTAAATGAGACCTTGAACTCTCATCATTCATATTCGTTCCGGCAGTGTGCCTCCTCTCAGAACCTCTTGTAATTATAGCCCTCAGTTCCTCAATACTGGAAATGCTCACAACTGTCGCATTTTCAACAGTAACAACACCCTAAAAAGTAGTATAGAATAATTAACTCTATGAGCATGAAAGGCTGTACATGGATAAAAAACACTTCTGAAATTCCCAATGGAAACTGCACAGATCAAGGTGATGGTTGGTTTGTTTGAATTACTACTATCAGATATAGATATTTCAGAATTTGAACAGAATTATTATGAAGATGCAAAAACAAACTGTCAAGAAAGTACTAAAGCAAGTTATTTAGTGTCAAACAATAAGATAAATTAACTGAATGTCCTAGCAACTAACAAAGTATGAAACATAAATATCTGAATACTACAGTTTCCGAAAAGCACAAAAAGTCAATAAGAAAAGTGGTAATCAAATATGCAAATAAAGTAGGGTAGCATATCCAGTGCACTATAAGAATAACGAACTGAATTTATATAGTAAAGGAAATCCAAATTAGATATCAACACAAATCTAATACCTTGGAATCTTTTTTTATCTCTAACTTTAGCTGCTTTGCATTTCTGGGCAACAATAAGTCCACAAGATTATCTTGATAAAGCTCCACCATATATGCCTGTGTATAAAACATAATTTAAGGATAATATAGAAGGCATACTTGGGATCTAAAGAACATGTTAAAACATGTGAAACAGTGTTATTAAAGTTACTTTTTCTTCCCAAGCCATGTAAAATGGAAGAACAAAGTACTGGTCAACAGTACAAATCAATGAGCCAAGATTAGAAGATATAAATGAACAAAGCATATGCCTAATATTTAAGGTAAACATGACAAACACATATTCCTCCTACCTTCAAAGAAAATGAATATTTGTTACCATCACGCTTTATCACCCTAAAAAGTTCAGATGTGGCCCTTGGAGTAAGACCAGGATTGTTATCTGAACCATAAATAGTGAAAGTCTTCCCTGAACCAGTTTGACCATACGCAAATATACAAACATTATATCCATCAACAGCTGACTGAACCAGATACTGCATCACATAAATTCAACAAATCATATGAAACCCAAAGTGAACAATCTTAAAAATAAAATTTACATTAATGATTGCATCAACACAAAAGATAGCATTTGAAGTATTCACCTTAGTATCCTCAAAGACTTCTTCTTGACTTGTGTTTGCATCAAAAACTCGATCATATATATGTTGCTTCGACTTTTCATCTTTCCAAGGATGTGCAATTGTAAATTCAACAGGACTGCAAACTATATTTTTCTCCTCAAACGAAAGTTCTTTGTCGCTTAGAGGGCGCAAGCGACAAAAAACTCTTATTTTTCCTTTCATATCTATAAAGAGTTAAAAATAAGTCATGGTCAATTCATCACAAAATATCATAACCATTACTAAGCACAAACATTTAATTCTAATTTACCTTCAATTGTATTATAGTAGCGCTTTCGTAGAACCTGTTCTTGCTTATAAAGATTCTCTAGTTCCACCAATTGTGCTCCTTGCCTTTTAAGAATCTCAGCAGTTTGTTGGTTCTTTCTGTCAACATCCTGAGACAGTGCAAAACGAAAGAGCATATAACTTTCTGAAAGACCTAAAAAGCAAATGCAGCTATTGTAAATCTCATACCGCTTTGAACTCTCTTAGCTCATCAAGTTCTTTCAGACTATTTTGCAAGCCATCAACCTCAGCATTTCTTACAGCAAGATTTGATTCAGCCACATTTAAGGATCGTGTTGCAACTTCCAATTTCTGCTCCAATTCAGCAATCTGAGATTTCATTTTACGACATTCATCCACATAAACCTTTTCCATTATGCTTTTCTGCAAAATCATATTCCATAATTCAGAATATGAAATGAATAAATTTTTTACTGAAATCAGAACAGAAAAAACATAAGTAGCATAACAACAAAACAATAAAAATAACCTCTTCATTTTTCATTCTTTCAAGCTTTTGAACTTTCTGGTCAAGAAGATTCTTTTCCGACATTAGCTTCTTCGAGACCTCTTTTGATGCATCAAGCTCCTTTTGGTATGATTTCAACTCCTCTTTAAGCTTAGTAAGCATCTTTTAGACATAAAAGAGAAAAAGCATCAGAAGTAACAATTTTGCAAAAATCAGTGTAGACAAAGAAGTTATAAACAGGTCACAGATACCTCAATGTCACTATTGACGCTGCCTACAGTTGTCAAAGTATCTCTCTCACGGCCCTGGCCACTTGTTAATCTGGTTTCAAGTCTACTTTTTTCCATCAGGGCAGCCTAATAAAATGGAAAGTCAGATGATCCAAACAATTATAACTAAACCAACAATCTATCACCATACCTGCAAAGCAGATTCTTTCTCATCACATACAGATTTTAGCTTATCAAGCTCATTTTTTACTTCTTTGGAACTTTGCCGTTCAGATTGCAAGGTATCTCTTAGCCCTTCCAACTCTTCTTGCATCTCCGTTTCTTGTTTTGTCTTCAACTGTAGATCTTCTTGCAACTAAACATAATGTGAAGACAATTATTTCCTCAGCAAAATGTCCACTTTTATACATGTATTAAATGTACACTTTTATAAGATAGGCATTTCCATTTTCTTAGCTATGCATAAGACAAAAGATAGGTTCAAAGATGCCACCGTTGCAGCCCTCACATGACTATAGTGTAAGTGGCAATTGTAAACGGATTTGGGTACTGTACGGACACCTAAAAGATATTTGATGTGACAATAAGATGTTCAC